ACTTGATTAGGAGACGGCATCAGACGCGCCACTGGTATCGGTTGCGAGCCATGTCCTGTAAAGTCTCGAGCCAAGCACAAGCCGAGTCACGTGGACTCCAGCCTGGAAGGCGAGACGGACCAACGGCCGTGACTTCATTTCCCGCTGCCAAGTCAACTTCTGTCCACCTCGAGCCCTGTGCCATCCGACACCTGGTAGACTGAACAAGGCCCTCCTAGGTAAGCGATGAACAGGCATGCGTAGCACGTGCCCGAGCCAACGCAATTTATTCAGTGCTATCTGTTGTTCTAGGGAGCTAGCATGATCATCACCACCTAGTACTCGCCTACGCACATCATCGTTGCGGACACGCTGGTGCCACCCGACACCAGCAATGCTTCGCAAACAACGATGATCAAAGACTTGAAGGCGCCTCAGATCTTCAGACCGAAGGGGCCAAGTCTCGCTGCCATAGAGCAGAACGGCCCTCACTGTGGCCTTGTATACACAGTGTCTTAAATGGTGTGAAATTCCCTTCTGTCGCGAAAGATGCCGTAGGTTCAAGAAGGTAGCTCCGGCCTTTGTAATGCGTGAGTTGACGTGAGTTTCTATGCACCCATCGTTGCTGATGTAGCTGCCAAGATAAGTGAATTGATCAACCACCACGAGTTCCTCGTTAGCAAGCGTCAAGGGTCATCAAGTGGCTGGTGGTCTTGCAGCAACACTTTGCACTTTGAAGGTGCGAAGTGCATACCAAATAATGGGACCACTCTGGACAGGCTATTCAGGGTTGATTGTGCCGTCACAAAATTATCGAAAAGCAAGACGATATCGTCCGCATAATCTAGGTCAACTAACCTTTTACCAGGCAGCACTTCAACGCCTACATCGTGAGATTCCGCAAGGAAACACTCCATGATAGAATCCACGACGAAATTGAACAAAAACGGGGAAATTGGACAACCCTGACGAACGCCACTTGTGGTCGGAAAGCAATCCGATAGGACACCGTAGACCCTAACGCGGCCTGTAGTTTTCGAGTATAGAGCACCTAGGATGTTCACATATTTCGTGGGAACACCTTTCCGCGCAAGTATTTCGAACAGAATCGATCGATCGACTGAATCGAACGCACTCTTGAAATCGAGGAACACAGCTATTGTCGGTCTGCGGTATGCGTGGCGCTGCTCTAGCACCTGCCGCAAAGTGAATATATGGTCTATACATCCACGTCCTGGGCGGAAACCGGCCTGCTCTTTCCTAATCCGAGGTTCCCGTTCTGCAGTGAGGCGACGAATGATAATCGAAGCAGGTAATTTTGTCACAACTGGCGTTAGGCTAATACCCCTGTGGTTCGCGCAGTCTGTGCGACTGCCCTTTTTGTATATTGCCACTATAATCGATTCGCTTCAATTAGCCGGGACACTCTTCCTTCCAGATACGTCTGAATAGAGGTCAGTGCTTTGCTGATGACCTCACCTCCATCCTTAAATAGTGCAGCTGGGATGGAATCCGCACACGCAGCACGAAAACGATTGAGAGATGTGATCGGTTTTCGGACCTTGACCTCCGACGGAGGCTCTAAACTAACCGTCCATGGCTCATCCTGCATCACCTGAGTAGGAAGACATCCGGGAGCAGGGGGCCAGCTGAACTGATCTTGAATGTGTTCCGCTCAACTAGCCATACGGTGCTCCGTATGATGTATCAGCGCACCCGCGCCGTCTCTGATTGTCTCACTGAGGCCTGATTGTCTCACTGAGGCCTGATTTTCTGGGACCAGTGGTGCGGACTAGCTGGAAGAGCTTTCGATACTTGCCTACTGCTCCTGCCTTCTCCATTTCTTGAGCCCGACTGGTCCACCAGGCTTCCTTGTCAGCACGTAGGCTCTGCTTTAGTTCACGCCTAATAGCCCGTCTGGACACATTGTGTTCAGAACCAGCCGGGAGTTGTCTTCTAGATTCCAACAGGTTCACCGACCTCTCGGATATCCAGTGACTGGTGCGATGACGATTGATAGTGCCACAAGCAGATGCTCCTGTGTCGTGCATGGCGGCCGAGATCCTATTCCACTGAAGCTCCGTGTCATTAGGACAAGACAGCGAAAGTTCGGTACGCAGTGCGTCTTCATAAGCTTGCCTGACCGAGAGCTGAAACAATTTCTCAGTTGCCAATTGAAGGAGACGCTTGGTGCGCTTCCCGGTAAAGTACATGGAGGAACGACAGCGTACCAAAGCATGATCAGAGTCGACACAGGTACTCCAGTACGAGCGGCAATCCAGCATGGAACCACTCCATCTGTAACTCATTGCTATGTGGTCAATTTGGGTCCATCGCTGGCCAGACACAGTAGGACGCCAAGTGGCACTTCGGCGCCCACTGTGTCTAAAAGCAATGCTACTAAGAAACAACTGGTGCTCCGCACACAGTTGCTGCAGACGCTCACCGTTGTCAGTCCGTTCGGATTTAAGCCCATAATTGCCACCCCGCTGAGCTTCTGAAGGGTTCAGACGCCCTACTTGTGCGTTCATATCCCCTGCAAGTACAATAATATCTGAACTAGTAGCACTGCGTAGTAGCGCGTTCAGTTCGTGATAGAATGTGTCCTTGACAGCATTAGAACTGCAGTCGGTAGAAGCATACGCGGAAATCACAGACAAACAGCGTTTTGTACTACTTCGTTAATCCGCCTTAGCTGAGGTCGTCAAACGGACTGCACATAAACGGCAGTTCACCGGAATCCAATCAACCAACGATGGCTCAGCCTTGGAGCCTAGAATGATACCTACATTAGCTTGACCTGTGAGTGCTGCATCGGCGTCTCCGGATGCATGCAACCAATAACGAGAGGATAAGCCGGGTGCAGTTAATTCAATAACCCCGTTAGGGTCATTGATCCTAGTTTCGGACACACAATACACCAATACCCAGTGTATCCAAGATGCATGCGAGGGCAGCCTGTTGACTTGTTTGTCTTAGAGTGCGAACATTGAATGTCGCCATGGAAACGGGACAGCGTGGCCTTATAAGGGACTTTTGCCGATAGGTGCCGTGGAATGGTGGCTACAGATGGTTGTACTTCAGTGACACTTTGATTGCTGTCAATTAAGCTGGGAATTATAGAAGGAAGGTTAGTAATGGGGGTCGTGATGGGAGTAAGAGAAACAGGTGGAAAAGAAAGAAGGGAGGCGCCAGCAGTAGCATTTTTTCGCTTATCCGCCCTGCTGTATGCAACAGAGAAGGCGACTCTTGAGAATCTGCGCGACGGCCGATGCAGGATGAAGTTTATGTTTGAAGAAAATGTCATGGTAGTATGTGGGCTGTGATACTGCCAGGACGCTCAGACCTAGACAGGAGGGCGATTAGGGTCCTCATCCAAAGCCTTTGGCTCAAAAGTCTGGCCGCAAGGCAGCGGGGAGGTGGCAATGCTTTAGTTTTACAGAAATGGACGCCATCCCATTTCAAATCCTCAACCTGGAGGACCAGGAGACTGAGTTTGTCTGACCTCTCACCATTGGCCAACCTGGTAGGAGTAGCTTTCAAGGTGCCCGGAGGCATCACCCAGTATAGCTCAATGAGTCAATGAGGTACGCAAACCGTCGCACCACGTTAAGGTCCAGTCCCGTTGCGACGGCCAGAGGCTCAAAGACTTGAATGTCATGCACACGTTGCTCACAGCTGGTCAAAAGCAGGTCTAAGCATCTTGGAGTCGCGCGCGCAGTTATGCGTGTCGGTTGCTTGATGTGCTATCTGGCCCCGATTTCAAATATCAACTTCGTAAACTTCCTCTCGACTTCACAATGGCTGGGGAGAATTTCAGCCTCAGGCCACTGTATTCAAGGTAAGTTCAAATCGCCCATGAGTAGGAACAGCTGACGACTCATGTGATTGCGGACATGCGGCAACCAGTCCAAGCAGCGGCTCAGTGGACTGCGATATACCACGCCTACGAGCATCTCGCAGCGTCTGAGGTGGATCGAACACCATAACTGCTCACATAGACCATCAGCGCTTCGGTAGGCGCTCACTAGTTTCCCACACAAAGAAGACTTTATGTAAAGCAGAACGCCACCGCGATCATTTGATGGTCTATCACAGCGGAAGCATGAGTAGCCGCTGATTTGCACTTCTTGGGCGGTTACGTCGGAGTTTAGCCATGTCTCAGCAAGGCCTAGTACGTCTGGTCGCTGAGAGGTTACAAAGTAGTACAGCTCCTCGCGCTTGTTCATCAGACTGCAGACGTTAGTAAAGCATCAGAAACCTGTTGATCCGGGTTCGCGGAGGAATCCGGATAACTACCTGAAAATTTACAATACGGAGATTTGTTTCTTCATCGTCCGTGCGTCGCTTTAGTTCAGTCATCGCAGACTTAAGTTTTTCTCTGTCTGTTAGGTTTGACTCAGCGCACTGGTGGATCTTTAGACCTTCCAGCCTGTTAAGGCGATGATGATGCTGACGACGACGATGACGATGATTGATGCTGCTGCTGCTGCTGCTGCTGCTGATGATGATGATGATGATCACTACCTCACGATCAGAAGATAGCTCGGGCGAGATTGCCTCCTGCACCTTTCACTTCCCCTTCTTGCTATGCGCCGTTTCCTCTCATATGACACGGTGTCATTGTCTGGGTAATCACTTCCCTGTACCCGGTATTTTTAGTATCATCATCAGTGTGTGGCTAGTTACTTGGCTATCCTCACTCTGGATATGACGACTTTCTTGCTCTGAATATTTTCATACTGCGAACCACCAATTGCATGCCTTCGTGTTTTGATGGAAATGCTATGAACTTGTGAATTTGGGAGACGACGGCTAAGCGCTGTCCGGATGCAACAATTCTCATCATACTTCGTCTGGTAGTTTTCACATGTTGTTCCACGCAGGAGTGCGCTTAACGCCTTCTTGTCGTGCAGTCTTCCGCGAAATTACTACTTCCACCGTAGAGTAACTTGTTTCGTCTCCTTACACTGCACAAATTCTCATCTTTTCCCTTGTTCTTGTTTCTTTCCACTGTTCAGGCCAGCAGGTTGGGACAGCGAAAAGAAAATCGCCATCCTGGAGGAGAATTTTACCAGAATCCGCAGCACTGACCCATATAACACTGTTGTCCCGCATCCTCCACCTCGCAAAGCAGCTGTTCGCGATCCGGAGGTGGTTGCACAAGACGAGCAGGTATGCTGCTCTTTTCGGTATCAGAGTAACGCCTGATGATGAACCTTCGTATCTCGTTGTCTAATCGCATTAGTTGAAACACTGTTGGTTACTGTCGTTCTTGTCCTTCTCTGAGTGCACTTCTACTGTTTTCTATGGTTGTAGTAATGTGACCCTCTAAGCTTCGCTTCGTATCACAAGGAAGATGATAGCCTTTTATTTACAACCCTGGTTAGCTGTCGACTTGGCATGCGAACCGTCTCCTGCTTTAGCCAGATTTGTGCCCTACCGGAGGGAGCCTAGTGAGCTGATTGGTTGCAGAACAGAGTCCTGGTTTCATGGGCTCAATGGAGTGTTTCCTTTCGAGTTTCCCATGGAAACTAATTGTTTCCGGGCTACCTACTTACCTTATTTTACGTTTACGTTCGAAGGGTTACGACACATTTTTCTTTGTACAAATCTCCCCATGATTGTAGCTGATCAAAGTATACCTCGTTCCTCTACTGTGAAATATCTCGGAGTTTTCCTACCTCACCATTTATCAGTCTACACATATTCTTGAAACAATTAAAAAGTTAGAATTCTCACTTTTTACGCCCTCAGGCTTAAAAAGCTTTCCGTTCTCCGTGCTTTAATTCAAAGGGTTTTTAACGGATGTGTCCTCCCTCACAGGTTATACTGTTCCCCTGTTATTTTCCCTCACTTCTTCAACGTATAATGTGCTTCTTGTACATTCGCTAAAATTTATTTCCCGTTGCTCTGGTTTGGGCAAAGAAACGCTCATTGATTTTATTGTTAGCACACATTTCGTTGCATGCATCAATTTCTCATCCAGGATTTTAAATGACTCGTCGCTCTTTACATCCTCCTCTAGCCAACACAATGTCTACTTCCACACAGTCGAAATATAAATTTGTACAATCTCGTACCTCGTTGTATCGAAACTCCATCCTGCCGTATTTATCAAACCGACTAATCGACCCATCGGGAATGAAACACCGCTTTCATGACCGAATGCTTGATTGAAGTTGCAACTAATCGCCTATTACTGTCAGCCGTTATTCCTCATTGATGCTCTATTCTATTATCTTCCGCTGTGTTGGTGCTACAATGCCAAAAATGCGCCAATGTGGGTGGATGATGTTTATTTTAACTTCTTGTTTGTAAGTTTCGCATGATAAATGACAGACTAACGCGACCGCTTTGATCCCGACACTGTACAGTCGTTTCTGGACTGAATAGCGCGTAGCCCTGCGCGCTTATGCGTGTCTTGCAGATTCCCTTTACAGGGCTGTGTCGGCGCCTCCAGTTCTTACAGTTAATAAACAACTGCTCTCATTGATCGGCCACTTTCCTCATCTCTTGATGTCACGTTCCCGAAGTGCTCACTACTAACAAAGAGGTAACTGGAGCTGAATAAATGAAGCGTCTGCCTCAGTGCTGTTGATCAGGCGATCGATCGAGTAGGTCAGTGAGTTTTTATAAACCCAGCTAGTTGTACTTTTCCTTATACTTGTGAACAGCCCGATTGTGTGCGGAGCGGTGTGAGTTCTTTCTCTGACCCGACTGGGACTGGCAGAGGGCAGAGATAAACAGAAGCGTTTACAACAGTGGCGACAGGAGTCAGAAGAACACAAAGATGCCAGTCAGTTTTGAACAATTGCAGGCACTTTTGCAGCGGCAGCAGTTGCAGTCCGAAAAGACAAAGAGGCAATTGATCGAACTGTTATCACACAAATTAAACATACGAGTAGAATGGGAACCGGAACAGCAGCTGAAATCGCAAAAAATTGTTTCAGAATGTCAGAGGTTGCTCAACTTGAATCCTGGTACAAATATGTAGTCGCACATTCGGAAGCCAGGAAAGAGCAACGCTTCTGCCACACCGCCCATCAGACCTGAGCATGCAACGGTAGTAATCAATGGCAATCTGATTACGCAGATGAATAGACACCACGAAGAAAAATGCTCCACCCTGGTCCAAAATGCTGCAGAAACACCAGGGCTGCCCTGAACATCAAGTCAGTCACTGCAGCAGTATCCAAAGCAAAGCGCCTTGGGCTAAGCAGGAAAGAAAAGCATTGCATTTATCATGCCGGGGGAAAAGCGGACAGACAGTGTGCGTCGTCTCAAAACTGGGAACATGGTGTACGCACGAGACTTCCATGGACCGAGGAGGTGGTCGACGGGAAGTGTGATCCACAGAAACGGTTGGGTCATCTACGAGCTAATGGTAGGAAATGAGAAATGGGTCAGGAACGCCAATCAGCTGAGGCTGAATCGCGGCAAGACTCAAAGTCCTCCAGAACCGCTCTCCCTATAATCGGACATCCTGCTAGACACTTTTTGTTTGGAAGACGAAGGTGAGCGGTTATGTGCATCACAACATAGGATGCAAGCAGCAGATGACGCACAATGCAGGCCGACCCGAAAGCGGAGACGACCACTATGGCTACAGGTTGATCCCCCAAGCGGAACACAACCGGTCGCTCGAGCGCCACACCACCTGTCATGCAGGTCAAATCGAAGGCGAAGGCAACCGCGATGACTACAAGTGAACCCCAGGGTAAAAGCTGTGATCAAGCTTAAGTGTGGAAAATAGATATGAGCAATCAATATGAAGGGGTAGGTGATAGAGACGTAAGTGGTGCTGAACATGGGAAGGGTCTGCATCAGTGCGGTCGATCAGACGATCGATCGAGTAGGCCAGTGCGTTTTTAAAAACCCAGCTAGTTGTACTTTTCCTTATACTTGTGAATAGAACGGTTGTGTGCAGTGCGGTGTTAGTTCTTTCTCTGACGCGGCTGGGAGTGGCAGAAGTAAGAAGAAGCGTTTACAACAATTACATGCATAGGTAATGCCTGTATCGCTTTCAGACGCCCCAATTTATCAAAATGGCTTGTGCAACTCTGGGGTTAGACCAGCTTCATTGTATGAATTAGACCACGTCAATGTATGCTAAAGGCACTGAGAGACCGGCCATGTGTAATCGTTAGTTTCCATTGGGGTCATTGAGCTACCAACACTATATTTTGCGTCAGTCGGTGTTTGTCAGTTGGGACCCAGGAGTCTCAAACAACGCTAGAATCACCAACGTAGACTAGGTCGTGTCATTCACATGCCCATAAACCGGCTGCCTTGATGTGTATCGGTTACCAACAGTGCATCTGCTTGGTTAGTAATCCGCTTGACATGGAGGAACAGCTGAGCCGAATTGGCGCATACTGCATTTCTCTTTTGACCAGCCACTAGGTACCTCGTCGTGTATGGCACACTCCCTGACTAAATGCTTTTATCCTACTCTCTTAGCTAACTTTTTTACCATTCATTTAGTTTATGGCAACGCGGATCAAGTCAATCTGTTAAGTATGCTGCTTAGCCGAGCCAATAACGCTTGTCGGTGTCGTTCCCCACGCGTGGAGTAGCTGCACGAAATCCAGACTGCGTACACCCCCGCAGATCCTAACCGCGCTTATCTCACACGCGAGACGAGCACAATCCCAGAACTGCATCGCTACACCGAGAGGGAGAGAAGACAATCCTTCGAGAAGATCGCTTCTACTGACTCAGAAGAAAGGCGAACATGAATTCTACACCTCCATGTTTAGCACTGTGTTGCTGGGCTGACGAGAGTAAACAGGCATTTACAAAGGCGAACATCAGTTAATGGGAGTTGTCACCCAGCAACGGTGTTACGAGGGAATCACGGGCTGATTGCGGCAGGTTGATTGTCGCATGATATGCTGAGCTAAGTGACGTACTAGCAGTGGATGACGGTGACACCGATGGAACATCGGTGTAATTGTCATCTGTGTGAGTTGCCATGCGGAAACGGTGGTGCGGGGTCAGCGAGAGGAAACGGCTCGGCGTGGAACTTCTGTGGACCCATGAGAGCTCTACAGCACCTCCCCTTCAAGTCATATGGTACTGTTTTTGGCGAGGGTTTACTTATATCGTTTTGGGCCTTCTGACACCTTCTGTCCGGCGGCAAGGACTGTTGGGCTTGACGTTGGTTGAATAGCTTCGACAGGTGTCAGCTGTTCGGTTACGGTTCCAAAAGTGTCCAGCAGAATGTATAGCGGTAGGCGCATAATCGGACTGAGATGCTTAGATATCGTTCCATGTCGTGCTTGAATTTGATTGCGGTGGCGTACCCGTGTATCACCGTTCACGGCAACGTCATAATGCTTATCGCCTCGGTAGACCGTCATTTTTGCTTCTATCCAACGTGGATCACCACCTCCATAGTCGCGGGCATATACAGGGGCTCCAACGACGAAGCCATTACGACTGGTGAAAACAGCAGGTTGTTTTGACGCCTCTTCGGTTGGAATGGGCGCTTTGTAGCTGATACACAGGCTCCGGCTTATCAATGTTTCGACGGGAGATTGAACTTCTGGGGATGATGGTTTTAGTGTGCTCCTGTAGGAGAACAGGAATGCCCGGAGACATTCATCCACGGTTCTCTCCCCACGAGCTTTCAAGTGGGCTCTCTTGAACGTGCCGACGAAACGCTCCACTTGACCATTGGACTAGGGATGATATGGCGGTGATCGGAGGTGTTGGATTCCGTGACGATGACAGAAATCTTCGAATATAGAAGACGTACACTGCGAACCATTGTCTGACACAAAGACCACTGGAAAACCATGTTGACTGCACATCCGCTCTAGGCAAGTCAGCCTTGCAGTTGTGGTCGCAGAGTTAATTGACACGACTTCAGGCTATTTGGAGTAAGCGTCGACCAGAACCAGATAAGAAACGCCATCTATCGGACCAGCATAGTCGATGTGTACACTTGATCACGGTTTTTCTGCTGGTTGCCAAGAGACTGGAGCTTGGCGTGATGGCATCTTGGCTGTTTGCTGACATCTTAAGTGTCACTGTCCATACCGGGCCAGTAAACTTAATTGCGGGCGATTGACTTCATTATTTTCGTATCAGGGTGAGCAGAGTGGAACTGGCGGAGTACGACTTGCCCAAGACAGATAGAAACGATGACTCGGTCAGCTGTCATAAGGCAGGAATCGACCATGGAGAGAGAGTCACGGCGCTGAGACAGCTGCTTGAGTTCTCCAGATGAACCATTAGTGCGCCAACGTGTCTGAACGTAAGTGACAGCCTGGCGGAGGACGGGGTCTTGCATAGTTGTGCGACATATGTCGGCGACAATAACAGGGAGACTGCGGATAGCACTCAAGAGCTGGTGACGAACATCTTCCTCGACGGCAACAGCGGCGATCACCGTGTCTTCCTCTGTAGCGTGCTTGGGAATGAGGCGGGAGAGACATTCGGCTTGACCGAAATCCTGGTTGCGGCAGAAGCAGATTTCGAAATCGTAATCAAGAAGAATGACGGTCCATCGCTGAATTCGACTGGCTGCGTATGCTGGGATACCCTTCTTAGAACCCAAGATTGATAGTAGCGGCTTGTGATCGGTCAACAAGCTGAAGTGTCGACCATACAGCATCTTGTGGAACTACTTAAGGGCAAAGACGATGGCCATGGCTTTCTCGATCTGACTGTATTTCTTTTCTGCCGGCATCAACCTGCTTGAGACATGCATGACGGCTTTCTCGAAATCATCTGGGAAGCGGTGGACGAGTACAGCTCCGATTACGTAGTGGGATGCATCAGCGGCGACCACAATTGGCAAGGCTGGGTCGTAGTGAGTCAATAGCAAGTCAGAGCTCAGCATGGATTTCAGGCGAACGAAAGCCTTCTCGCATGCGCGAACCAATGCCAATGGACCTCTTTCTGCAACAGCCGATTAAGCTGAGCTCTTGCGTCGTGTAACGATGGCAGAAAGACACTGCAGTAGCTAATCAAGCCAAGGAAGGATCGCAACTTCGGAACATTCTCCGGGGCTGCCATCTGTTGAGTGGCTCCGACATTTTTGGGATCAGCGTGAAGGCCATTGACATCGAAAACGAAACCCTGGTACTTGCTCGACCGAAGGAAGAACTGGCATTTTCTGCTCTCAAGCGGAATCCGTGCTTTTGGACCCGTTGAACGACCGTGACCAGGCGCTCTCGAAGCTGTTCTGGAGAGCGACCAACAATGCGTTGATCATCCAAGTACGCCGCCATGCCTGGAATGCCAGAGATCGTCGCGTCCATCGTATGCTGGAAAAGGACCGGGGCGATCTTGACACCAAACGGTAGCCTGTTGTGCTGAAGGAGACCGCAGTGTGTATTGATCGGCAGCAGGGGCTGCGACTCGGGATCGACCTCAATCTATAGGTAGGCGTCTGTCAGGTCAACCTTGGCGAAGCACGTGCCGCCATTGAGCAATGTGAAGAGGCCTGCGGGGACTAGCAATGGGTAGTAGTTCGGTTCAAGCGAGGCATTGTGACCAGTGAAGAAATCGGCACAAATGCAGATGAATCCATTAGGTTTTTTGACCACAAAAATTGGGGCTGACCAAGTGGAATAGGCCACAGGTACCAAGACACCAATATCCTCCAATCGTCCGAGTTCTGCATCGACCAAAGGTGAAGATGTTTATGACACAGGTCTTTTGGGACGGAATACTGGTTGAGCGCCGGGTGCAACTTGTAACACCACCCGCCTGCGTGTACAGCGTCCAAGGCCATCCTGAAACACTGATGCAAACTGTCTGGTGATGTCGTCGTGTTGGTCCGTGAATATCGACGAAAATCGTACCACGCTGCAGATGGCCTGAAGAGGCAGATCAGCCAAGCCCAGGTTATCGAGCCAATCGAGACCAAGTAGGTTGAGCTTTACTTTGGTGATGTAGCAGGTTCCCTCGAACGTGGTACCTCGAAAGGAGACTGAGCAGTGCAGCTGCCCGGTTAGCTGCACTCGACCACCACAGGCACTGGTGATGGATTGGGAAGTCGCCTGACACGGTGGCTTGCCAGGTAATAACCAAAGGTCTTCAGAGATTACCATTATGTCCGAGGCGGTGTCCAGCTGCAATCGGACCGATTTACCATCGATCAGGTTGTTGACGAACTTCCTGCGGTCAGCAGCATTAACTTGGAAAGTAGGCAGCAAACTCATGGAGTTGCCTTCCGGACTTTGTTTGGACTTGCGTCTGGAACGGAACCGTGACTTTGAATCAGGGGTACGGGCCAGGCCAGGTTTGGCCCCCTTTTGTTGGCGGAGGTTTGCAGTAGCCATCACGGTGTCCCATCTGACCACATCGCTGGCATCGGTGCTGGCGGAAGGTGCAGTCCCGGTGGAAATGCCATGCACCACAGTATCGGCAAGGAGAGGGTGTGGACTTTGCCTGGTTGAGTGGGGGGAGGCCACGCTGAAGATGGCGGCTTCGGGGCTGCGACTGATTGGATCTGGGTGCAGATATCTTCTGGATCATCACCGAGTCGTATTTTAGATTAATCAAAAGCTGATACTCCTCGGCCAGCTTCTGGAGTGTGAGTGTGCTGTCCTGCTGCATCCTGGCTGAGATACACGTTCGGATCACGGCATCTTGAACGGACTGAAGGCCAGAGATAAAAACAAATCATTTGAATTATTCTTCTGCGAGAGATTCAAGCTGGAATCGTTCGCACTCACGATCGATGATGCCCGCGTATGTGGTGAAGTCATCGGCTTCACCTTTCTGCCACGAAATCCAGACTGCTTACACCCTGGCAGGTCCTAACCGCGATTATCCCACACGCGAGACGAGCACAATCCCAGAACTGCATCGCTAGACCGAGAGGAAGGGAAGACAATCCTTCGAGAAGATCGCTTCTACTGACTCAGAAGAAAGGCGAACATGAATTCTACACCTCCATGTTTAGCACTGTGTTGCTGGGCTGACGAGAGTAAACAGGCATTTACAAAGGCGAACATCAGTTAATGGGAGTTGTCACCCAGCAACGGTGTTACGAGGGAATCACGGGCTGATTGCGGCAGGTTGATTGTCGCATGATATGCTGAGCTAAGTGACGTACTAGCAGTGGATGACGGTGACACCGATGGAACATCGGTGTAATTGTCATCTGTGTGAGTTGCCATGCGGAAACGGTGGTGCGGGGTCAGCGAGAGGAAACGGCTCGGCGTGGAACTTCTGTGGACCCATGAAAACTACACAGCACGATTATTGACTGAATCATAACTGATCCATTTAGCCGGCACTGCATTTGGAATGGTTGTCGTCACGTTTTTTCCTTAATCATGTACTTTGTAGTTTATGCTGCTGTACGCTACCTGTTCTCTACCGTCCCCATTGCTTCGGTCACACGTGTTACTGTGTTGTCACAATGGCGTGTGTTGTGTTCGGTTTCCGCCGAATGCTACGTGTTTTCGTTAACTGCATGAACTACTTAATCTTTTTATATTCGTATTTTAGTCATTTCTCACCCGGTTGATCACTATGATACAACGAGAACCCGCTGTGGGTGTCAACACTGGTATTACTGCGTCCTCCGACCCCATACTGGGCCATTTGGGGAGTCAAGGTGGAGCTGGTAACCCTTCCATAGGACAGCCTACGGGAAACGCTTCTCCGCGGGCCCAGCCTCGTTCCAAGGTCAGTTTGTTTAGTTGATGCTTCTAGCGGTTCTCCAGCTTTTCTCTTCTTCTTGTGCCGATAGATTGAAAGTCCATGGCCTTCCATGCATGCGATTCTCACCCGCTATGTCCAGTACTCGTTCTTCGGTTGTTGGAAACTGATTACCTATTTCGATAACTTACATTTACCTTCCTCGGAGTGCACTCTCTATACTGTCGCTGTGTTTACTTAGATGACAACACTTTGGTCCCGCGATTTCTCATCAGTCTAACCCAATGGCTTAGGACAGGGATATTGTAACGTCATTGTGACAATGTGGTGGATTGACTCGTTGCTTTGTCTGTATCTACCTCCATCAAATGCCGCCTCGCTGCCTTGCGTTCATCTCTAGTAGGGTCATAATGTTTAACTGAATTAAACCGCGGCACTTTTACCACCATTTTATGTGTCACCCACTGTCCTCTACAGCTTTTTAGTGATCCATGATCACAGTCAGATTTGGTGGGTCATTGTGACTACTTTGGGTCCTGGAGCTCCTGGAGATTTTACATTCCTTTTTCATCGGTCTCTTCCCGCTTTCCATTCCATTCATTTAATTTATAAATATTGCAGTATCTTGCTCGATACTTACCTGCATGTAGTACGCTCAGGGTGCTGTATGCAACTTTGGTGCCCTTTCGCCAATCGATTTCTTGACACTGTACTCGTTTGCACACAAGCGCACGTTGTATGAACACTTGATTCCACTCATCTAGATTGATTCGGAGATGTTTCGTGGTTTATCGACCGTGTCCTCTTCGCGCATTCCGGCAGTCTGAATCATTTCATGTGAATTATCGGTTGCTCTGATTAATAAATAGTCCACCTAACTAACTCATTGATTTGCAGTTTACTCTCCAATGGATCACACAATCTCTACTGGGTGGTATATCAACAACTGACGACGTAAGTCGCCCGTTACTAAAAATACTCTTCCTGGAGTTCCATCCATCTACGGGCGCCTGTGAAGACTATCTAACCCTTTTACTTCGTCAAACCGGCTTGTCTTCTCCACTCCTCTCCCCTGTCGTGGGTTTATGCCATGCGGATTTTGGCGTCTCCTTCCCAAGAAATTTTTAGGTTTTACTGTTTTATTTCATCAAAATCACATGGTTGTGGGCTGGTAAAATATCACATTCGCTAGCTAAATTTAACGTCAAACTGGGAACTTACGGGGAAATCCTTTGAATCGTCGGACCGGAGAACTATCAGAATCGGACGCCAAGTGCAGTGACACCACCCTGACACACTGGCCATTGTGGAGAAAAAGGCTAGCGTCCATATGAATGTATCCTCTACTTAGTCTCCCAGACTTATTCAATCAGGCGCAGTCTAGGAAAACAATACTTGACTTCGTGGATCATCGCAGTCATTCAAAGAATGTCTTTAAGATAGGTTTAAATAAATAAACCTTTTATTTCTGGACGATACGAGAGACTATTCCCACCCAGAGAAGGATCAACCTATTTACAGATTTTTTTTCATTTAGTCCCCTCTACATATTAGATGGGAATATACATTATGTTATATCCATGTCAACTGCGCGCACGCACGTTGTTTAGGGTAAAGTGCAGAAGATTGTGCTGGGGTCATTATACCCTCCGTTAACGGATGTCCCGTCGATCTGGACCAACGTAGTCTGAATAAAATTTGAAGGTGGGACTTTCGTAGATCGGACCATGATTCTAACCCACCAATTAGTTCCCTAAGCTGCCAAGGGTTGTATCGTACGCTAGGCTAAAAGTTGACTATGTTGATTGTGTAGGCGAATATGTATAAATGGAAAATGTACCTGGTAAATACCGTTATGTGGTGACATAAATGGCTAGTAATTTTAAATCCTCTGGTGTTGTTGTTCAAGTGGACTACAATGGGCAGTAAATCACTGTGTTGCCATGTTAGAAGCGGTCATCATGGCAGGCAATATGGCTACTTTTAATCGTTTGGTGCTTCCCTTTTCCCTTAAAGTTGCGGATTTGGAGGATGTACTGAAATTTTATGTGGCGACTGCGACGTCATTTTACAACTGGGAAGTAGTGAATATGTTTACCCTCAAAATTGGCTTGAAAGCGTATTCCTTACGGAAAGTGTATGTGATCATATACCAATTAAATAATGAAACAAATACATTTGATCGTAATTGCTCGATTATATTACATTATCTTCTAAGTGTTTCTGGTGACCTCAGTTCTGTTGGTCCACTTGGTCAACCACATGCCGTTGTGTGTTATCGTCAAATTACCTTCTGTTTGCAAACGGATTATGCCTCTTGTAGCTGTCGCACGTGTATGATTATTGGAAGAATATTACAAAATCCTACATTGTTAACTACGACTGAATCCATCTCATGGGGTGATGGAGTTAAACTTCTAACACCAATAACTATACCAATGCCATTGGTTCCATCGCGATAAAAAAGTGCTTTACTCAAAAAATCCCGTTGATGGCACGCGCTAGGTGGATTGACTGTCCACACTATAAACACAGAAATCCAGCTCTAAACATGAGTTACATAAGTGATGACTTACCTGGTTTAAAAGGCACACTGGCACACTGCGAGATGGAGCATGGAAGTGCGGATGAAATCCATCGAGAGAATAACTCTCATAGAAGCAGGTCCTCAAGAGGCGGTCCCTGTAATGGCCGTATCACTTCACTTATACATTTTCTTTATCTACACCTATTATTTTTCAAAAAGCTTCACAACCATCCGGTAAGATTTAGCCGACCAATTATACATGTCCGCCAAAAATCTTATGGACTGCTATGGAAAATTCGCAAAATATAACGTCTGCTCCTTGCGATTCTACCGTACACCAAGAATCGTAATATCCAGTATGGTTGCATCTCACATCGATGAGGAATTTACCGTCGTTTTTTCTTCGCCACAACTTCATATTGCCCCTTCAAGAGCATAGTACTACCTGTACATATTTGCTTTGTTCCAATTATGGACGCAGCTTCTCACGAAAAGAGAAATTTACCCAGTTTTATTATATGATATATATATATATATATGTAGAGCTATATTTTAACATGGTATCTTCTTTCAAATGAAAACGGAAGTGAGGGTGCCGCGCAATGTACTACCATGAGAAGACTAGCGGTTTTTATCTCTCGCTGTACCAGGATTCACGTCTACCGCACAGATGGACACGGATTTCGGGTTCCTCTGCGCTTTATATAAGACCACTTCGGTTCACTTCCATTTGCACTCTGAAGTATTATTGACCAACATGAGGATACAGTTGTCATTGTCAGAGAGACGTTTAAACTTGTAAACCTGGGTTCAGAAATATTTAAATAAAGAACTCTTTTATTTCTTGACGATGTGAGAGACTACTCCCACATGAGGAAAGATGAAAATATTTACAGATTTTCCATTTAGTTCCCTCTACAATTAGATGGGAATATGCATTATGTCATATCCATGTCAGTTTCACCCATGCACGTTGTTCAGGGTGAATGACGGGTGTCCTATCGATCCGGACCAGCGCAGTCTGGCCAGAAACCGGAAATGGGACTTTCGTGGATGAGCCATTCTTTCAAACTTCCGCTGACGCGCAATCCAACTTCATCGATCGATTAAAATACGTTCAGAAGTCCCAGTTTGTAGTGGACTCAGGGAGAAAATAAAATAAACAATAGCATCAAGGTAGTTAAGAAACGGCTGTAAAATGATTACCAGTAAAAATAAATAAAGCTTCAATATCTGGCAAAGAATTATCCAAACATATAGACATCAGTTTGCACGGAATATATAAAATTTGGCAAGCATTCTTGTAATTTCCCCAGTAGTTGTTTTGGGACATCTAAAAATGCGGACTCATGCCGGAAGCCTTACCCTGTGATAAAACTACTTCAGAATGTAACGAAGCTTCTAGTAGCAGCAGACTCTGGCACTAAGTACAATGAGAGCGAAAGGTGCTTCGCTTGGTAGATGACAACATTTCACTGTGACGCAGTTATAATAGGGAAAGCGACCTAGATGATGGCAACATCATTTCTAAATTGTCAAACGAAGTCTAAAAAAATGTGGTATAGCACAATAATATATGTGGTCATGAGTTGTAGTGACAAGCTTTATGTCCGCTATACTCCGGCTTATAACGGTATACAGTAAGGCCTGTGTGCATCACCAGCCATAACCTCTGTGGTTATTCTGAACGTTGTTAACTTTTATTACGCCAGGGTAAAGTACAAATAATAGTATAAGCGTGGAAGAGCAGGTCTGTGAGAAAATGTGAATTGGGTGTCCATCCATCACTGAGCCTGAGATTTAACAGACGCATGGTGGGAAATGGAGCCAGGTAAAAGAGAATATCACTGAGATGGCGGTGGAAAATCCTGGAAGTCCGGCTATCCGAGATGACAGGGACCACTCTGACTCAGGATTAACTTTCAGGCGAGATTAAATGAATATGAGATATTGAAGAGCAAGATGATACTAATGTGCGGAGAAGGATCTGGCTTTTTATTCTACCAGTCTGCCAGTGTTGACATTAGCAGATGGCAAGCGTTCAAGTCTGATAAAAGTTAAGATAGTGAGGGCCAAGATGAGGTGAAGTGGAGTGACACAAAACTGGGTCACATTTATTGTTTCATCAGAGGAATAGTTAACCAACTATCTGGAATATTATGATATGGAGTACAGAGATGAACCTAATTTTCAAACCAAGACAAGGCAAGAACGTAAATAAGATGATCAGTAACGAGTTCAGGATGGTTAGGAGAGCTAGTAAACCGAAGTGAACCGAAACCTTCTAACGCTAAGCAACCCGGTGGCCCCAGTGTGGCAAATAAAACATTGAACATAGAAAAATTAAAATAAGGACAGATAAGCAGGCTCAGAAGTTAATGTACAAGGTGAGATCTAAGTCGAGCAGCATTTGGAATGCGGCAGATGTGAGGCTCAACCTTTAAATGTTTATGGGCCTCTCTCATAATTATCGTCTGGTTATAGATTCGCCGAGTATACGTAATACCTCCTCTACGCTTAGGTGGTTGAATACTTCACCTCGAAATATATGCTTCGTTTTGTTACTTCTAATAGATTCGGGCACCTTATTTTAAGCAGAATTTGGCGCGTAACCTCGTACGCACTCTAGGGACGCAAAAGCTAGATGATGTATTTCTAGTTGGATATTGATGGAAAGTGTCAAACTGGACAGTACCTGGCTCCCCAGAACTGGTATGCGCTAAGTCAAACAGGAAGATAATATTAATCTTAATTCTTGTCAACCATAGTGGTTCTAGTTTCAGCAGGTTACACCGTTGTTGATTATTCAAGGAGCCAGACCTTAGTAACCATTTGATAAAAGAACATTGTACTTTTTCAAGATTGACTTTATCGTACATTTTTATATTTATGAATATTAATGGGCAATATTCTAAGACTGGATGCGCATATGCTTTGTACATAGCTAGCCTAGAGTCTCTTTAAATTGTAACGTATTGGAAATACGTGCTATGATAACTCTCGCTTTGGCGGTGACATGATGTACCGGTTCGGAGCAATTGAAAGTGCTTGAGTAGCGAACTCCGAGGTCACGAATCGATTGGTTTGTCATCTAGCGTCAGCACGTCATTAAGAAAGTTGCATCTGAAGAATAGGGCTTTACATTTGCCAACAAGAATGTCATTTTCCGCCTCAGAAGGGCGAAGAGCTCCATCTCTGTTGTTTGAGCGCCATTCGGTTTATTTATGCTATCAAAAACGAACACAGCTTTGATATCATCTGCGAAAAGAAAGGGTCTGTCATGTGAAACGATTCGGAACATGTCATGTATGCATAGTAGGAATAGCAGTGGGCCTAAAACGCTTCCCTGTATGACTCCGCTTGTTACTTATATAGGTGAAGATACACAGTTTTCCACTCTGACACATTGGGTGCGTGTAGAGAAAAAAGATGTCAGCCATGCTACTAAATGGTTAGCGAACCCATAAGTGGTCAACTTTGTTAGGAGTTCTGCATGGGATACGCGGTCGATTGCTTTTTCCGTGTCTAAGAAGAGAATAACCAATGATTGCCCGGAGTCAGCCAACTTGGTTACGTAGTCCAGAAATTCAAATTGGTAAGTTTGACACGAACGACCACGGAAGAATCCATGTTGCGACCTGTCGCTCAGATTGTGTGAATAAAGAAACTCCATGACTCTTTGATTATTCTTTCCATACTAGGAGTCAATATGGAAGTATGGCTAATGGGGTGGTAATTTGATAGCTCGTGACGTAATCCCCTATTATGTCTGGATAGGACGGTGACCCGCTTCCACCTAGCAGGGTATACACCAGTCTTAATCGACAAGTTGAATATGTTTAGCAGGAACAGGGGAATATCGGGTCCGGCGAGTTTAAGCAATGCTGGTGGTATTCTGTCAAGTTCAGGGTGAAAAGAATGCTTTAGGGCGGCTATTTGCCTTCCAATACTATGCAGGTTGAACTCAACTGTATCTATTGTTTCACTGGTGAGTAGAGGCAATCTTTCTTGTGCAACACAGGCGCCTGTATTAAAGGAGAAGGAGAAATGTTTATTAAATAATTCCCAGAGCTCATCGGGGTCGGTAGTGAGACTTCCGTCTGATGAAGCAATAGTCATAGGTTGTTGACATTGTGCTTCGTATCTGACTCTTGTTATGCGATGTAACGTGCTAGCAATTGTGCGTCTTTTGACATAAGCTTTCTTTTTTGTCGATCTTGCAAGTCCTTGCAAATTTTATCAGTTTGTATGATCGCACATATGTCAAACATTTTCTTAAACCTTAAGCGCAAGCGTTTTAGACGCACTGCAACAGCTTAAGGAATAGGATTTTGAGGACGAGGCAATGGCTGCTTTCTATATTGCAGTGGTGCAAGCAGGTCAGTGCAATAGATAAGATGTTGGTAGAACTCATCAGCGGCGATATCTGGACAGTCTGTAAGGAAAAAGCCATCCCAGTCAAGGGATCTAATAGTCAGAGAGAAGCTGTTCCAGTCCAATTTGCGATATGGTCGATATTGGTGGGCATAGTGAGGGTTCGTTGCCGTTATTTGGGCAACCTTGAAGGTTAGTTGGATAACCTTATGATCGCTCCCAGGGAGATTACTAAGTGTCTGTGTCTGAGCATTCTATATGCCCAACGTCAAATACAAGTCTAAAATGTTACTGCCTCTACTAGGTTGCTGTATCCATCCACGAGTGATTACTGACGAAAGAAAGTTCCGATACTTGGCGAGTGTTGTTCGTTTCTGCCACGAAACATCGGGCATATTGAGGTCGCCACCTGTAATTTTTCGTAAGAACTGCATCTCAGATGCCCATTCGAACAATTCAGTCAGTTGGTTTAATTTGGCCTTGGTAGCGCCGGGCGGCATGTAAATGCAACCAACAAGAACACGACAACACTTAATCTTAACCTGTATCCATACCGAGTCCTCGAAGCTGCCTGACGAAGGAGCCTCCAATCTACTCGCTTCTAAAGCATCATTAACGTACACAACGCAACCGCCACCTCGACCAGTAAGACGGCCACTGGCAAAAGTCGTGAAGCCAGGTATGAGTAGCTCTGTGCACTGCGAACCAAACCATGTGTCCGTTACAAGCACAACGTGTGGTCGAGAGAAGGATACTAAGGGTCGTAGATGATGCATCTTGTTCCTCAGAGATCGAGCATTCGTTAGAAGAGAGTGAACTACATCATTTTGGGATAGAAGGCTTGCTGCCTCTAAAATCAGCCTGCTGGGGCTAGAATTATCTAATACTGTATTTTCTGAAGATTGTTGAGAAGCAAGGTCACGCTCAGTTTGGCTGTATTCATCGTTGCCTCTATCAAAGGACCTATAGGATTTTGAGCCACTGTATGGGGTGCGATTTAAAGAGACGGTGGTGCAGTCCATGAATGATGGAGCGTAGTCTGTTGATGCGTGGCGGGAGTGAAAACTGGACTTGAGTGAGTGAGGAGGTTTGTAGCGGTGTACAGGGCTTTAAGCATCATGTGGCGCATTCTGCATCCCTAATAACTGGTTGATGTGCGTCGAGAGAAGGAAGGGCGGCAGGTTCCCAACAAATGCATTTGCATGAGCTTATTCGCTACCTTTTGTTACTGAAACGAGCAAGTACTTTTCTGTTTCCGTAGGGGTTTTCGAGTTTTTTTTAATACGATACATGCCTTCCGGCTGATACCTTTGAATCACCGGTGAGGGTGCGGTTTCTCAATCAGGTCAACAGGCCCACGACTTCTAATGCTGTACCATAACTACCGACACTGATGGTTGGCTCACTCCATTCTGCTGGCTGCGTCTTTTTCTGGGAGCGTATGTCGGAGCTTCCGACTCTCTGAGGTTTGCTGTTTCCCTGTACTTGCCTTGGAGCCGGATTCGATCTTTGGCAAGCCATGTCGTCCAGTTTATTTAACTCTGTCACGCGGTATCCATTCTTATTGCCAACGAATCTCAACCTCCGGTTATGAGATTCATTATGGGGAACTAGATGTATTTACAACACTTGTCTGCTTCACATATGGTAACTGTTCGCCAAACTAGCTGAGGTTCGTTTCATAATATGTTGCGGTAAAACTTAGCATGACGTGTCGCTTTCTACCCACGCAGCGGGAACTTCAAGGCAAAACAACGGTGAATAGTTTAGCAAGTGGTGTGGGGATTTTTGATGTTTCTTCGAGAACGCTCGTCGCAACCGGGTGGTGACGGCTTTCAAAAATGGTCGTAGCTCTGGGCCAGCCCCGTTTTCTACACGTCCATAACATGCGTGACAATGAAGGATGAGCCGCACTGTATCGCAGTTAGCAGTCAGTCCTGCTATCCCACCGACATCTCCTATGGCTCAGCGACTCCTAAGGCTGATTTCATGGGTTAGGATTTATCAGGACCCGGCGGGTGCGTGCTACTGTCTAGTCCCGACACGATCATCTAGCCTTTCCCATGAGTCAGTGTGACTGCGACGAATCTCAAACATGAACCGTTTCGTCATTTTGCAGTTAAAGTGGACGTGATTTGTTCTATCGTTTCAACATCGTCTTGACACCTACAGGTGTTCCCAATAGTTAAGTTTGAGCAGATTTTGTATACATGCACTTCCATTTCGGTCACTGGGCTTTTCCGCTTGATTACATTGCTTTCTTCATCTGTTCCACCCACATAGCCTACGCCTCCATCCGCTGGCTCTAACACCGGCGACCCTGCTATTGGCACTGGACCCAATCCTCGAGCATCCGAAGGTGTTTTGGCCAACTTCTTTACAAGTTTGCTCAATAAGCGGTCCAATTTTGCTGGCGCAGGATCGGCTGCGGCCGTTCCGGGCACAGGTTTGTTTCTCTACGCTCTCAGCCGTATTCGCCTTCCCCGTGGTAAATAATTCGTTCGGCAAGAAGCCACTTGATAACTGTCGCTAGCTTTCTCTTTCTGCTTCTATGTGTGATAGTTACTCTGGATGTGCACAGTATCTGTTCATGGTGACGCTACGATCTACTCAGCAAACTTTCTATTTCGTTTCCTTCCCAATCGCTTCATCTACAGTATTGGCCAAATTATTAGAGCTTTGTTTTCAATCAATACCTTTTTTCATATTTCATCACATATCTCGTAAGAATCAAATGATGTAACTGTAAAATGGTTATATTTACCAAGAATAACATATATCGAATAGAAAATTATCAAGGTTAGTATTTCGTAAATGATCCTTTGGCAATTTTCAAGGAGTTAACACGCAAAGGCATGGAGTGAATGAGTTTTTTGCAAAGTTCAGTCATGCTTTCACTGCGAGCCCAGGTCGCTACAATTTGTTCAATGAGCAGTTGCTTGTTTGTAATAATTTTTTCTTCATCTCTGACTTTAGAATTGCCCATAAATTCTCTATTGGGTTCATGTCAGGGCTATTACCAGACCATGGTAACACTTCTATACCACAACCCTCAAGAAAACGGGTGACTTCACGCCCCTTATGACCTGGAGCACTGTCATGCATGAAAATGAAGTCTGCTGTCCCTGTAAATCCTTTTTTCTTTTTGATCATTCACACAGCTGAGGTATCAGTTGGTGCTCCAGTAGTCCTTTGTATTGCTGCTGGTTCATAGTACCCTGGAAGATGGAGAGCCGACCAGCTGCGTCGATACTCATAGAGCTCCATATCATGACCTGAGTGGGATGTCTCACTTGTTGAGTGATGCAGTCTTCCCTCATCTGTTCGCCAGATAATCGGCGGACATATAGAGATTGCTGGGCAGAGCACAAGATGATGCACTCATCGCTGAAAAACATCTAAAGTGAAACACAGAGAAGTGCAGAACACACAGCAAAAGTAATGTAGACACAATTGTTCTAGCAAATCTTTATGAAAATAAAACTTCCGCTTCTTACCCGCTCCCAGTCTTCTTTGGACCATTTTTGAAGCGGTTTGGCTCATTCCTGTCGTTTTTTTCATTTGTTTGGTCAACTTTTGCTTCTTCAGAAGCCTGCAAGCTCGAAGTCCAGAATCCAAAAGTCGTCTTCTTACAGTTCTCGAACTAACTGCAACACCATGCGGTTCCAACAGCCATCGTAGCTGTCTGCTAGATGCTTTGCGATTCTTTAGGCATTCCCTTAGTAGAAGTGAGTCGTCTCGAGCTGTTGTTTCTCTTCTGCGACGAAATTTACCGGAACCTTTAGGGGTCAGGGGTAAATCCTTTTACAATTTTTTTCGTAGTCGACATACAGACGCTGGCCTGACACCAATCTTGGTTGCAATTTTTGCTCCTTTAACATCTTTCAACAAAATTTCAGTTTGTGCACGCTTTAGAGGGGTTAGGTCACGTAAGTTACCCATAATATGCCAACCCCATCTAAAAACTGATGATCAATACGGCTGTGTCGTCACTTGAGATGACACCTTGAAAAATAACGATAAAAGTAATTACACATATCTATAAATTGATCCAAAACCAGACAAATGTAATCCTGAAATGTAGACTACAACTGTAAATAACGAAGTATGATAAAAATGTAACCCTCCGTTGACGTAACTACTGTACACGTCACATCAACCAATTTGTCATCATTTACAAGAAATCTCACATATTATGCCTTTGTGTGTTAACTCCTTGATAATTGCCAAAGTATCATTTACGAAATACAAACCTTGATGATTTTCTATTCGATATGTTATTCTTGATAAATAGTTTACAGTTATATCATTTGATTCTTACGAGATATGTGATGAAATATGAAAGTCGCTGGTTGAAAACAAATTTCTAATAATTTGGCCAATACTGTACGTCGTTTCACTTCTCATCGAAACGTTGTGCTCATCACTCTTAGCACGATGCATAATGCAATTGCTTGACTGTCGTCAGATTGAATAGAGCTGATGTTGGTTTCGAGCTATTACGGAGTTCAACAGAAACCGAACTTTTGAAATGGCGCGCCAAGCGGCAGAGGGAGCGCGCTGCGGCGACTGAGTGCACGTGGAGTCTTGTTTAGGCAATAAACTGCCATTTGCCACATTTCGCTCTGACCTTTGGTCGGTGTGCCCTAAGTAGTTGCAAGCACGCTCCCCCTGCCGATTGGCGCGCTAGTTCAAAAGTTTGGTTTCTTTTTCAACACACCAGTATTTCTCCATACTTTGAGATGCGATCCATGTGCAGTGTCCCATCACTGCGTCCATTTACCAAAGTGGGGCATATTACGGTATAACTGCTTCCAACGCAACGCATAGTTTGCGTCTTGGAATGAGTCATTTCCGCAGGAAAGCTTGGAGGAGGTGGTAATGGTGGGTGGTTTCTTCCATTCACAAGATCGAACTGCATGTATGTTCTCAACTAGTAGTTCTATTGTGATGCCTGCAGACCACTGTATTTTCGCCTACTTGACAAAATTCGTACCAAGCATCAGTTCATGGTCCTTGTGTTTTCCTCTTAAACATGCCAGACTGTTGCTTGTCGGTGGGGCATCACCTTCATCACCACCTTGTACTTGTACCTCCCCTTCATTAGCTATGAACTCTGAGACGATTCCACTTATGATGAACTACATGAGCGGCGAATGAGTACCTAAAATCTTTAAATAAACTTCCCGGACTAGGACGTTTGAGCCTGGTCACTATCATACGGTTCAGTTATTTTAAGTGACACAGCTATGATCCGGACGCCGGTGAATCTAATTGTCACGATCCCCTTCGTCAGGATACGACACTTGACAATGGCGAGTAAAGCGAGGTAGAACACAGAGAACAGAAAGCCTAGGAATCTAAGATGGAATTGATTTTAACTAATCGGGTTGGCGTATCAACAGCTGTATGCAGGGACCCCTGAGTCCGGTATATCGCTATGTAAGACACCCAACCGCTAGTGTGGCTGGCTCATCCCGTAACCCCCATCCACGATAACGGCATATACTAGGCAGTCAGCCCAACCAAACCACCTCATACATTGATCAGCTCGCTATTGATACTTGAACGAGCTGTACTCCTTAGGTACAACCGATCAAGTTGCATTTGATGGCACCTTAGAGCAACATACCGACGAAGCCGATTCTCATTACCGTGAAGGAGAGTGGCCTTTAATCTTTGCTATCAAGGCAAATCCTCTTTTCACCTCAGCGGTGTCACAGGCTTTCACAGACCATTCTATAGGTTTTTTGATGAGCGAACCTGTTATCCTTCACGCGCTCATCACCGCTAATGGAATCACCAACGTAGGTGAGTTCATTCACTTTCCCAGTTCCACGTTTCCAAGAGTCAAAGACCCAGCCATCGGCTTTTTTTCCTTCACCATCATTTCCCACCTTGATCTCGCTAGTTGCATAATAAAGAATGCAATAGCCCTTCTAAAAATGATGCTATCAAGGGTTTACAGGACTACCTCGAGATTCTCGCATCGCAATTCGAATTCGTCCATGTAACCAAGCTCATCCACTTTCCCCTGCAACACCTCAGTGCTATGAGTTGTTTGCGACGAATACCTTTAAACTAGTTCTTACCTACCCTTGGATCATTCTTTCTTTTTAGGCTGTAGAAAGAAATTTGACTGAAAGTGATGAATGTATGTTGTAGAAAAGGGGGATAGGTTCAGTTTGATTGTCACTAAAACGAGTTTAGTAATTAAAATTATACAGCATTATGGCAACAAATAATTTTCTCATCGTCCCTGATAAATCGATGTCTATTGAACGAGCTCGCATCCATTGTTTTTTTCGTCAACTGCTTAATCATTATTGGGTAGACATCTCCAGGAATTGTAACCGCTTAGACCGCATGGCAATGTAACCTAGTGGTTTTCACTGAGCAGGGATCCACACTAGCGACAGCTGTCCATGGGATAGCGGAATTCCTCACGCATTGCTCCGGGCTGTTATAGTAGGGGCGCTAAAGTGGGTCGCTATCTCTTCGCAGTACTGCCCATCCTCTCTCGTGGCAGCTCGGATGGCAAATGACTATATGTGCATATGCACTAGTCATTAAATTGCGGTAAGCCTAACATATTTTACTAAAAAATCTCTACTCATGAATAGTCTAAATTAGTTCTAACCGCTCAGTGGGCTGTATATAGATTCGCAGCGCCCTGTACAAAATTGACCTTATGCACCCGATTGGGAACATGTTTCATCTTTTACACTAACACTGCGGATGTGAAGAGGCATAAGATTGACATGAAATTGCAATCAGAGTTTAAAAAGAAGAAACTATGCATGCACATCTCTCAAGAAAATGTTCACGCTTACTGCTGTCAAATTCCTGGAGATCCACAAGATGAAGGGATAAATACGATAGGGTTATGATAAGGTGCGTAAAAACCCTAACTTTAGAGTGGTTCGCCGGACACAAGAGTGCTTTTGATGAACTAGCATGAACGGGGTGGTAAGGTCATTTAAAGACTAATACATACTTGTCACAAGCACCAAAATGCTTAGTAGCGATGAAATCAACCAGAGACTTCCTGGGTAGTCCACTACATCTGATACTGAGCTTAATGGATCAGACAGACAATGTGGAGCACAGGGAAAATGATAGGTGAGCAACGTAGCCCGTGAAGAAGAATCCAGGCAGTCACGAATTTATGAAATAAAGAGCAGGGTAGTGAAAGCATTTTGATTCACAAGGCATCAAATGATAATTTTCACACCTTTCAGAACGTTTCGTCAGCATGTATTGACTAAGATAGATTATCAGATCAATATACACCAAGGTACTTAACTGTGGACGAACTGCCTATGCTGTGGTCTATTACGACCATGTGGCGAGAAGTGCTTACCAAAATCGGACGTTTGTCAGTGCGGAGAAAACAGAAAATTACATCGCGGCATTTAGAGGCGTTGAAAGTAAGGGATCGAGACG